GGGCCGCAGGGGTGGGAGGCAGACACGAATGAGGTAAAAAGCTGTCAGAGGAGGAAACGGTGGGGGATGAAAACGGTAGCAGCTCCTCCTGCCGCCCAAGGGACCCAGTGAGAATGCGGCAGCGCTGGCTCGCTCTGAGCTGAGCGGGTGAGGGCGGCCTTTGCCCACAGACCCGCTCGCGAGAGCACCAGGCACTGATGGGAGCCCTGGCGGTGCTGCTCCGCGGAAGGGTCCCAGGTTCGATTCCTGGTCAAGGGCATGTGCTTGGGTTTCGGGTTCGATCCCCAGTCCCAGTCGGGGTCCGTGCGGGAGCAACCAATCGAGGTGTGTTTCTCACATCAGTGTTTCTCTCTCCACCTCCCTCCCACTTTCTCTAAAAAAAATCAATGGAAAAAACTATCCTCAGGTGAGATTAACAAAAAGAAAACGAATGGATGGGGAACGTCAAGAGGGTCCCAGCCCCTTCAGGAAAAGGCTGTTTGGCTGCCAGGAGCCCGACCCCGAGCATTGCCCCTCCCGCCCTGTGGCCGCCCCCTCGGCCTTCGGGTCCCTTTATGAGCGACTCCTGAGCCAGAGCTGGGCCCAGGGCGATCACAAAGGCCTCGGAGGGTGGAGCTGAGCAGGGAACATGGGCCCCTCAGAGGGTGCCGCTGACGGCCGTTCCTGCCCTTTGAGGCTCAGTGGGAAATGCCCGGTGAGACCTGCAGACTTTCATGGGATCTAAGTCAGAGGTCAATGCTTCCTGAGGCAGCTACCTTCGCTCGTGAAACCAATTTTCATTTTTATTTGCAAAATACAACCAAGACCCAAATGGGATGGCTGCTTTCCCGTCCTCCCGTGTGCAGAGACGCAGGACGGTGTTGGAGGAGAGAGAGCAGGAGGGCCCAGAGCAGAGGACGCGCTGCCCAGGGCGTGGGGCCCAGGCGGTGACCCCGAGGTGCAGAGGGAAGGTGTGACCCCGGCTGACGGGCCGCAGGATGGTGCCTGCTGCAAAGGGCGCGTAAGGGGCATCCGGAGGACACCTGAGCTGCCGCTGACACCCAAAGGCGCTCAGTCAGGGGGACAATTGTTACCGCCCACGGAACTGCATTGAGTTGGCAAAACTATATAAACAAACCCCTAGGAGAAACCAAGATGGCGGCATAGGTAAACACCGGAGATTGCTGCCTCGCACAACCACTTCAAAAATACAACTAAAAGACTGAACGGACATCATCCAGAACCACAGGAAGGCTGGCTGAGTGGAAATTCTACAACTAGAAGGAAAGAGAAAAGCATACCGAAACTCAGAGGAGACGCAGTGAGGAGGTGAAATACTAAGGTGCTGAGGTGCGTGCGGAGCGGGCTGGCGGCTGAGGACGCGGTTGTCGTTTTCAATCGGGAGGGAGTCTCAGGCTCTGAGCTCCAGTTCCGGGCGAGTCTCTAGGGACCCAGACTCATACGGGAGAAGCGGGACTGTCTGGCATCGGTCAGAACCCTAGGGCAGCTTTCTCTCCGAGGGGCTTGCAGCGATTAAGGGGACACTGAGAAGCAGAGTCTATGAGGGCAAGACTGAGAGCAGCCATAATTGCTAACCCCGCCCTGTTGATCCCGTGGGACCCGCCCCGCCCAAGCCCTGCAGGGAGACTTTTGCTGGATAGCCTCAGGCAAAGGCTAGATTAGCACCTCCCTAGAGATCCAGGAGCCAGGAAGCCTAGAGGTCAGAGGGGGACCATCCAGTTTGCAGCTCCGTGGAATCATAAAGGACACACTCAGGGGGCAGACTCAGTGAGCACCAAAGCCCCATCGAAGCAAGTCTAGCCCCAGAGGGGTGTCTCCAGCACAGAAGTTCTCCCACTGCAGACACAGCTGATTCTCACAGCCAATTGGCCTGGAGGTCAATTCCTCCCAGTGATAACTACAACAATCAAGGCTTAATTACAACAAGACTGTGCACAAAGCCCACAAGGGGGTGCACCAAGAGTGTCTACCTCAGGTAATTGGGACACTTAGCACAGAAAGGCACTCTATCGACACAGCGAAGCATAAAAAATGCCGAAACAAAGAAACAGGACACAAACGACAGAATTGGAGGAAAGCAAACTGCGGGATATAGAGTTCAAAACCACATTTTTAAGGTCTTTAAAGAACTGTCTAGAAGCCGCCGATAAATGTAGTGAGATCTTCAAGAAGACTGGTGAAACCCTCGATGTTGTGATAAAGAACCAACTAGAAATTAAGCATCCACTGACTGAAATAAAGAATATTATACAGACTCCCAACAGCAGACCAGAGGATCGCAATAATCAAGTCAAAGATTTGAAATACGAAGAAGCAAAAAACACCCAACCGGAAAAGCAAAATGAAAAAAGAATCCAAAAATACGAAGATAGTGTAAGGAGCCTCTGGGACAGCTTCAAGCGTACAAACATCAGAATTATAGGGGTGCCAGAAGATGAGAGAGAGCAAGATATTGAAAACCTATTTGAAGAAATAATGACAGAAAACTTCCCCTACCTGGTGAAAGAAATAGACTTCCAAATCCAGGAAGCGCAGAGAACCCCAAACAAAAGGAATCCAAAGAGGACCACACCAAGACACATCATAATTAAAATGCCAAGAGCAAAAGACAAAGAGAGAACCTTAAAAGCAGCAAGAGAAAGAAAATCACTTACCTACAAGGGAGTACCCATACGACTGTCAGCTGATTTCTCAACAGAAACGTGGCAGGCCAGAAGGGAGTGGCAAGAAATATTCAAAGTGATGAATACCAAGAACCTACAACCAAGACTACTTTATCCAGCAAAGCTATCATTCAGAATTCAAGGTCAGATAAAGAGCTTCACAGATAAGAAAAAGCTAAAGGAGTTTATCACCACCAAACCAGTATTATATGAAATGCTGAAAGGTATCCTTTAAGAAGAGGAAGAAGTAGAAAAAGGTAAAGATACAAATTATGAACAACAAATACACATCTATCAACAAGTGAATCTAAAAATCAAGTGAATAAATAATCTGATGAACAGTATGAACTGGTGATTGTAATAGAATCAGGGAAATAGAAAGGGAATGGACTGACTATTCTTGGGGGGGAAAAGGGTGTGGGAGATGCGGGAAGAGATTGGACAATAATCGTGCACCTATGGATGAGGACAGTGGGTGGGGAGTGAGGGCGGTGGGTGGGGTGGGAACTGGGTGGAGGGGAGTTATGGTGGGAAAAAAGAGTAACTAATGTAATGATCTGAACAATAAAGATTTAATTAAAAAAAATAATAATAAAAAATAAACAAACCCCTGCTTCGTGGGGTCACTCCTGGAGCACAGACAGGCATTGGGCAGAACGGGAAGGTAAACAGCTCCTTGAATTCCCTGGGCCTGGTTGTCCTCGGGTCATGGGGGTGCCGCCATACAGCCTGCCCAGCCTGGTGCCCAGTGGGGGGGCAGGAGGCAGGCTGGACGCAGCCCTCGCTTCCTTCGAAGCCCGTGTGTGGCCCGGCCTGGAGGAGGGGCCGCCTTTGATTGCTCTGCCCAGGACAGCATGGCGCCCGCCCGGCAGCTGAGAACGCTCCGGAGCCTTCTGAGGGCGGGGAGAGGGCATGCCTGGTCCCCTTGGGAGGCCCACGGGGCGGCTGGCTGCTGGGGCCTTGGGGTGCAGCAGGGAACATGGGCCCCTCAGAGGACTGTGGCCAGGGATGGAGAGGGCGTGAGGGTCCCTTAGACATCCCGGGGTCGAGCAGGAGCGTCAGGAGCTGCGGCAGGAACCCAGCTGCCCGGCCCGCTGCCGAGAGGAGAGGGTGGTGGAGGTGAGGGGGCGTGAGGACCAGGGACCCAGCTCTAACCTCCCCACAGGGTGTGGCCAGGCGGGGGGCGGGGTCAGGACTGGAGAGGCTCATCCTCAGCACCCGGAACCCCTCCCAGCTCCTGTCCATGATGCCTCACAGCCAGGTCACGAGGGGCCGGCCCAGCCCTCCAGCTGCGGAGCTTCTT